TCCGTGTTCGCTGTGGATTTAATGCCAAGGTCTATTGCCAGACTCGCGTTGTTAGCTGTGAGGGCTGTGGATTTGTTCCAACTAATCTTCATTTCGGATGCAGTCTCAAAGGTTGAGAGGCACTGCTTCAGCGCAGAAAGAGAGGCCCTAGAGTTTTCTGGGATTGTAGAGAAGTCGTCCGCCAATGCTGAGACTTTTAATTCGTACTGAGGGGAGACCCTCAGCCCTCGGTAATCCTTATGCGAACGGATCATATTCAAGAGGACTTTCATTTGAATGACGAACAGAGATGGAGCTAGGGGGCATCCTTGCCTTAAGGATCTGGTAACAAAGAAGGAGCTTGATATGAAACCATTCACCACTACCCTCCCATGAGAATCGTGGTAAAGTGCTTTAACCCAAGAATTGAAATTACGTCCCTGACCAATTCTTTGCAGGACTGCTTGGACAAATCTCCAATTTACCCTATCTTATGCTTTTTCAAAGTCAATAAGGATAATCGTTGTATAAGAGTCCTTATAATTAATAATATCGATCGCTTGTGAAACTGTCATAACATTATCTAAGACCAGCCTGCCTGCGACGAAGCCAGATTGGTCCGGGGCTACTAGTCTGTTCATGAAGGGTGCCAGTCTTCTAGAAAGTGTCTTGGTTAATATTTTACCAGCTACATTAAGAAAGGAGATTGGGCGCTAACTTCTAAGATCTGGCCGGTATCCTTTCTTATATAGAAGGGTGATGACACCTCCCGTCGTTGTTTCCCCCAATTTCTTATTTATTAAGATGTTATTAAATATTCGGAGTAGATCTGGGCCCAATAGGGGCCATAACTTATCAAAAAATTCAATGGGAAAACCGTCCGGGACAGGGCATTTCCCCCTGACCATACTTTTCATAGGTGCTGTTAATTCCGGTAGTGTAATGGGATGGTCCAATTCTTCTCGTTCTTCAGTTGAGATTAATTAGTTAGTAAAGCCCCATAGGAGGTGTTCCAACTCGGGGGGGACCAGGGGTTCTAAATGACTTTTTTCTGTCGTAAGCAACTTCTCATAGAATAGTCTCCCATCGTCGCTGATAGTGACTGAGTCCTGTGCCTCAGGGGTTGAGGGTGTGAAGGGGTGTGTTAATTCCCTTAGAGTCAAAAAGGAATTGCTCTCTCTTTTGACTGCAAAGGTCTTGCTGTTCATCCGACCTTCAGATATAATATCATCTACTAGTCTGAAGCGGGACCATGATTCGTGTCTGGAGACTTGCAGATCTCGCTATTCCTGAAGCCATTGAGATCTTCTCATGGACCAATACTCGTCCAAAAACGAGTATGTGCCCATTTGTTTTTCTGCAAATTCAACATTGCGTTTTAGTTTTATTTCTTTGTATTTCCTGTTTACCGCTTTGACTGTGGACATGGTTTGTAAGAAGGTGGACATCAAATGAAGTCCCTTGTCCAACCAGTCCCCCGGATCGGGGTAAAGGCGGGTTGAGGATCTCCATTCTTCCCAGAAGGAGTAGACCCACTCGACCATAGCTGGGTCATCCATAATCTGCATATTAAGCTTGAAGGTACCTTTTCCCCTCTCAGTGCTTGTTCCCATGTTTAATATTAGGGAGACTGGTTTATGATCAGATAGTGGATCCGGAGTGATTTCCGACTTGGTAACCAGTTCGGCCACTTTCTCACTAACAAATATCATATCTAGCCGTCTTCTAACTTCCCGGTTTGTCTGGGAGTTCGAGGAGACCCAAGTGAATATTTGTTCAGTGGGATGTTGTGTACGGAAGGGATCATACAAACCATTTTCCATTATTAACTCATTCAACTTCAGCGATTCTGAGGGATGGAACAGTGGAGTGGTAGAGTCTAATCCTTCTCGATGATAACTGTGTTCCAATCACCCCCTACCACTTACTCTTTGAAAGGGGTATGGATATTTGTACCAAATGTCTCAGATGTGGGGGTCATGCTGAGGAATCACTGGAGCACCTCTTCTGGGCGTGCCCAACCTCTCGCAGATTGTGGAACTGGTGGGGTATCCACTGGGTTAGCTTTGTCGGTGACATTCTGCTCTGGGATGAGGGATGGGCCCTACACGGGAAGCTCCCTTCCTCTTGGTACGAGCATGTAGGCAGAGGGTACGTAGCTCAGGCTATCCGCTCTATCTTGCTCTGGATCATCTGGGAGGACAAAAATAACATCATGTTTAGGCAGGAATGGACCTGCAACGACCATTTCGTCAAAATGGACATTTTTTATTTTTTGAACGAAATTGAAACTGAGTTTTTTGGCCGAAAACTCGTCAAAATTTGTTGTTCCTTAGGGTCCAACGTTTTACAAACGCTGGACCCCCTGGCTGTGCATGGACCTAGCTTGAGACCAAACACCTCCAGGCAGGACTGCCTGGAGGTACCTGGTCTCAAGCGAGGTCCATGTACAGCCAGGGGGTCCAGCGTTTGTAAAACCTAATATCAATTTCGTTCAAAAAATAAAAGATGTCCATTTTGACGAAATGGCAGTTCTGCGACGTCGCCATTATCAATAAGGTCAAGGCCTGGGTCAGGCTGATGATGAGGGTCTGGATGAGGAAGGCCCACGGAGGCAGCACGCGAAGGGGCCGGCACTGGTTCCTCGTTACTTGGGCCCGGGATAACAAGTTGGCAGCCGTCACTCTCACTGGTCGCCATTATCAATAAGGTCAAGGCCTGGGTCAGGCTGATGATGAGGGTCTGGATGAGGAAGGCCCACGGAGGCAGCACGCGAAGGGGCCGGCACTGGTTCCTCGTTACTTGGGCCCGGGATAACAAGTTGGCAGCCGTCACTCTCACTGGGCAGCTGGCAGTATCGCCATGGCTCAAGGCTTAGTCAGGCCTGTCCTACAGTCCCACCAGTCCTCTGTCCGGATCCTCCTTCCTCTCTCAGTCCCGTTAGACTGTATTAGGCATCTCCCTCAGTACTGTTGTCGCCTAACTGTTCATTTAGCTCGAGAGCTGTGGTAGTAGCATACGGTAAGTAGATTAATTTTTTCAGTGTAGAAGCTCCCTCTCATCTCCCTTACCTTTTCTGGTTTATTGTTTTTTTTTTCCTCTTTTACTTCCTCGCTTCTCATCCCTTCTCATCCCTTCTTAACTAGAAGTATTCAATGCCTCCCCTTTTGTCTCCTCTGCGTGTTTTTCTCCCCCCCCTGCCTATCTCTCCCTTCACCTGTTACTCTGCCTCTGTTGTTGTGTTACTGTAGCCATTTAGCTTTGGCCCTGCAGTTAACTTAGGATAGGACAATCAGCTTTTCTTCCCCTCTCGGGTAGGTCAGTTTAGTACTTTTCCTCAACCAGGACACTCGGTTGGAGCTGGCCGCAGTAGGCCCCCAGCAGGGTAGCTGAGGGGTGGAGGGAGGAGAGTGTCAAGTTTCGAAGGAGCCAGGGTTCTGGCTCCGAGGAGCCGCATCTTAGGCTGGTCCTGGCCGTCTACTGATAGGCCCGACCCACATTTTGCCCCTTACCCTCTTCCCTGTTCACCGAATCCTCTTATCTAACCCATCTCATTTACCCTACTTTCTGTCACTCAGTCTATCTCTCCTCCCTGTAGTTCCCCCTCTTCCCCCTTCATCTCCTGCTGCCCAAGCTTCCCCTTTCCCGTCCCCCCCCCCGCCCCCTACCCCCTACCTCCCTATTCCTCTTCCATTCTCCCCCAACCATGCCCAGTTATACCCAGCCCAGTCTCTACCCACAACCCCCAACCCTGAAGCTCGAGAGCTTAGACTGTCATCATGCTGCGTTGCTTGCTCCCCTCTCCTTCTAGTTTAGACCCACCACAGGTCTAGGCCCTTATGTTTTCAGCAATTTGATGTCTTTCGGTTCCTATTGGTGCCGTAAAAAGCGAAGCTGGCTAATGCTGCCAGAAGTTTCCAGTCCGGGTTGAATTGTGGGGACCCCGGCACCGTTGCCCTTTGCTCGAAACCAAAAAAAGAATAAAAAAGAAAAAAAGAAAAAAAAGAAAGCCATCTGCAGCTTTGAGCACAGATGAACGGTAATAGATGCATGCTGCCACGTTTGTGTGGAAGATACGGTCGTACTTTTTTTGCTTCGATGGTGGTTTGGCAATGCCTATTATTACTGGGCAATAATCCTATGGCCTCGCTGCTCTACTCTCGAAATGTGCAAAACGAGAGTGAATCTTTTGCTAGAATATGGAAAGAGGCACCGCCATGATGTTTGTCTTTTGTGCATGTCGAGCCTAGTGCAGCGAGGCCCATTGACTATTCCTAGGTCGTAAATCCCAACGAAAGTGCCCAAAAAAAAAAAAAAAGAGTTAAAAAAAACAAAAGTGGCAGTGTTGACTACGCGCGGGAAGGCACGGGATCGCGCGGGAAGGCACAGACACAAACAGGCGCCAAGGTCGCGGAGAGGAGCTCTGATGTCGCCGCATGGCACAGAAATCGAAATGAGAAGAAAAAATAAAAAAAAATAAAAAACATCGAAATGAAAACCTGTGCATCGAAGGCGGGAAGCGCAATCAATCTGTCTCATAGGGCATACGCACACGCCACTTTGCTAAACGTATCTGCTTTCAATTGCAGCCCGAGCTGGATGAATCTAGCAGCAATCACGTATCTGCCTGCAATTGCAGCCCGAGCTGGATGAATCTAGCAGCAATCACGTATCTGCCTGCAATTGCAGCCCGACCTGGATGAATCCAGCAGCAATCAGTCCAGAAATAAGCAGAGAAAGCCCTAGGGCCTCGCTGCACTACTCTTTTTTTTAACAGGTAACTCGCTGCGCTACTCTCGACATGCACAAAAGACAAACATGATGGCGGTGTGTATCTTTCCATATTCTAGCGGAAGATTCACTCTCGTTTTGCACATTTTCGAGAGTAGTGCAGCGAGGCCCCTGATC